GACTCCACCCCATAGATCTCCAGGTATTTCACAACCCGGAGCTGGCAACTCTAAGAGTGTCACCCCCAACAGGAAGTAAGCCCGAAACCAGAAGTAGGCCCAAAACACTCACTTTCATTTCCAGTCTCCTGGAAGAATGTCAGGAGACTCCTGCTGGCCAGGTAAGTCAACCTGGCAACCCTATCACTGTGTGACTGAAGGTAAGATGTGGTGGCCATTTTGTATCTGGCTCTGCCTCCTGTGGCAGCCATTCTGCTGTGTCGGTATTCCAAATGTTCCCACAAGCTCAAAAAAAATTGGGACACTCCCCCCCCCCCCCCCACCTTCCCCGCGTCCGCGCTGTGTGGGTGAGCGGCCGCTCATTAACACAGGAAGCCCTGCTCAGTAGCAATCTGGATCTGTTTTGGATCTTCATGGCGAGAAAGGTGGGAAATAAATAAAATAGCTGCAGTTTTTCTCAGCCCTTCGTGACCTGTCTGTCAAGATTTGCAGGCACCTTGCTCCTCCTTTTTGCCTTTGGCTCAATACTACCCAATAAATCCTCAATTATCTCCTTTGATCAGATTGTAATTGATATGTAGACAGTCTGTGTCCTTGACTTCCCTGGTGTTGAGCCTATTAGTTCGTTGCGACAAAAAAATAAAATTGGGTTTTCCTGGCACCTTCAAGACCAGCAAGGTTTTATTTCAGCAGCTGCTTTTGCAGACTAGAGCTGACTTCTCCACACACTTTAATGGAAAGGGGATCTTTTGCTCTGCAGGAGAGCTTTCTGCAGCTGCACCCACCTGGGGCGGATTCTGGTCCACCAAGGCTTTGTCATGTTGAGCTGTCTGGCAGCCGTTCAACAGGCAAGGCATCCCCCATCACTACATTTTCAAACCAAGTAAATCCACAAGGGTTGAATGCCTGCCTGTCCTAAAGCTCTTTAGAAGGAAAAGTAGTAACCCCCTTCAGGCCTGAGCCCAACATAGTTTAAGGCAACATACCCCCTCCCACCACCCCACCAAAAAAACAGCGGCAGTCACTCAAATACATATCATGCAGATTTTAGCTGGTCTGATTGAGGTTGACAGGCTGTAATTTACCTGTCAAGTTAATAATTCCAAATACCTCTGTCCCGTGTGATTGCACCTAACAGGTTGCTGATTAATTACTTTTTTTAAAAAACCACCCTTTAGCTTGATGCAGCTACAGGCTGGTAATGAGGATCAGCTGTGATTTGTTAGTGCCGGTTCTTCTAGCAGGGTGGCCGTGTCAGTCTATCGCTGCAGAATTAGACAGGAGTCTTGTGACGTCTGGAAGACTGACATTTTCTTTTCTCAAGAGCCAGTGTGACATAAATGAGGGATGCCGGCCTCCAGGTGGGACCTGGGATCCCCCGGAATTACAGCTCATCTCCAGACTGCAGAGATCAGCTCCCCTGGAGAAAATGGATGCTTTGGAGGGTGGATTCTATTGATGTTGTATCCCACTGAGGACCCTGTCCTCCCCAGGCTCCACCCCCAAATCTTCAGAGGTTTCTCAATATGGATCTGGCCACCTTATCCCTCCATCCCCCACACCACTGGCCAGGGGGGACCTGGCAACCCTAGGTGGGCACTCCATGAAATTGCTGAGCGGTCGGGTTAGAACGGATAAGAGGAAGTACTTCTTCACCCAAAGAGTGATTAACACTTGGAATTCACTGCCACAGGAAGTGGTGGCGGCTACAAGCATGGACGGCTTCAAGAGGGAATTAGATAAGCATATGGAGCAGAGGTCCATCAGTGGTCATTAGCCACAAGGTATAGATAGGGGCTCTGGGGCAAGTGATGCTCTGTCTTCTTGGTGCTTGGGGGGGGGGGAACAACAGTGGGAGGGGTTCTAGTGTCCTGGCCCCACTGCTGGACCTCCTGATGGCACCTGGTATTTCTGGCCACTGTGTGACACAGAGGGTTGGACTGGATGGGCCATTGGCCTGATCCAACATTGGCGTCTCTTATGTTCTTATGTTCTTAGGTGCTTAGTGTCAGACTAGGATCTGGGAGACTCAGGTTCAAATCCCCACTCTGGCATGAAATCCAGCCAGTCAGTCTCTCAGCCTAGCCTAGCCTACCTCACAGGGTTGTTGTGAGGATGCAATAGAAAGGAGCGGGACAGTGTCAGCTCCACTGGGGAGAAAGGCGGGAGATAAATTAAGTAAATAAATACAAATTTCAGCCTCAGTTTTCATGGATGTACTAGAGCCCACTTCTCTAGATGCAGTGAGTGAATCCTCACTCTGCGGGTATTTTATAGAGGTGGTGCACCTGTCTTTTTCCTCGGTTTCCAAGCACATCTCAGTCTTCTGTTCTGCATTCCCTCCCGTTTTCACTGCTGCTTTGTTTCGGGGCTTCTTCTTGGTTCTGCATTTATTTTAGGGGGGATCAGCACTCAGACCGCTCCCGGCACACTGTTGCCCTGCACTTCCCAAAAGTGCTTTTGCTGCGAACCTTTGTTTGGCTTCATTTTGAAATCGATACTACTATTTAAAGTAGAATTGTTTCTGTGAATATCCCCCGGTTCAGCCTTTTTCTCTTTGGTCTATATTAGGCGGTCAATTTACATGATTAACAGGTTTCCTCATAGGCATTTGCTGAACGTTTACATTTGTTTAGAGTTCACAGTGGTTTGGAGGATGGGATCGCTACTGGGAAAACCAGTTTTTCAAGAAGCACTTCTAAGCCAAACAGACTTCGATCACAAACACTTCCCTCGAAACAAAAACAGACGGATGGATTGATGGTTTGCATTTTGATTTGATACTAAGCGTTGATAATTGTATATCATATCCCTGGGCTATTCCCATTACATAAGCAGTGCCCTGTTAACACTGAAATGGCTCATCCGCTCAATGGCATTCCAATTTTCCTGGAAGAATTTCTCCCACCAGCCAGGGCCTCTGTGAAAAAGAAGAGAAAACACGGGCATTGAAGGGAAGGTTGAAGTATCATGCTGGCGCCTTGGCTACTCCTTCTCCAAAGGATAAGAGCAATCAGGGCTCAAAACACACTTTCTTCTGTGAGTATGCAGAAAGCATAATCCACAGACACTGGAGTTTCTGGCGCAAAGTGCTGAAGAATAATTACATATGCAGAATGAAAGGAAATGATTTGAATCAAAGGCATACACCGCCTCAAGTTCTGGGGAAATCGGGAGTAAAGACTGGATGCAGAAAGGTCCATGAAATGCAAGACGTCCAGAGTGCCCAACCTTTTATAGAGGGTAATTAGCTTACCTGACCTGAATTGTCTAAGCTAGCCTGCTCTTGTCAGATCACAGAAGCTAAACCTGACCTCTGTCCCCTTTGTTCCAGGATTATTTTTATTGAGTATTATGTCTGATCAGTGTGCAAAAAATGATATGTATTTTATATTGCATGTGACTACCTCTGCTAGAATATTGTTTGCTTGATATTGGAAGAGAACAGAACTACCGTCTAAAAGTGAAACTATTAACAAAATACTGGAAATAGCTGAAATTGATAGACTGTCTCTATTTTTAAAAAATCAGTTGGAGGATTTATTTGAGAAGACGTGGTCGAGGTTCTATACTTGGATCAAAAACTAGAACAAGTTAAAAACTAACTAAATTTGAGGAAACAGCAATATAAAATTATTTAATCCTGTAAAATGAGATGTGATTCGAATGGTTCAATAGTGTGTAATGAATAACAATAACAAGGCAAAGTATGTGTCAAGGCATGAAATGCTCCCCCCGCCAAATATTTATGTATGTTTGTCAATACATGTCTTTGTTTTTGTTTGTGTCGAAAATAAAGAAATACTAACTGGAGGGGAAAAAAGAAAACCATAATGGGTCACCATAAGTCGGCTGAGGCTTCATGGCAATTTCCACCAGCATCAGCTACTTCAGCCAGTTTGGTGTAGTGGTTAAGACAGTGGAGTCTAATCTGGGAGAACTGGGTTTGATTCCCCACTCTTCCACATGCAGCTGCTGGTGTGACCATGGGTCAGTCATATGTTCTTTCAGAGCTGTTCTCTCAAGGGCAGTTCTTGAGAGAGCTCTCTCAGCCCCACCTGCCTCACAGGGTGTCTGTTGTGGGGAGGGGCAGGGGAAAGGAGTTTAGGCTGCTCTGAGACTCCTTCGGGGAGTGAAAGGCGGGGTATAAATCCAATCTCTTCTCTTCTACTACTACTTCACCATGACTAACAGAATGGGTTCTGCATTTTTCCATATTAAATAGGTAACTTTTATGCAGGCTCGCTTCCGCACAGCAAAAATCTATTTCATTGTCACTGCAAGTGCAGAGACGTGCTCATCGGCAATTAAACCTCCACAACTGGAACTTTATGCACACTTTTTTAATGTAAGCTTTCATTCTGTACCTGAAACATTAGCCAGACGTTGCAGGTTGTTGTTGCAGATATTTCTTGATCATGCCAATGGATGGTATCTGGAAACAGATGGCACCTGTGCCATAATAATAAATTCTGTATGAACTCCTGCACTCCCTAAGCCCGCTCGAAAATTGTGCAGAGGTATTCAGAAATGTTTTTTGTGTGAGCACGGCGTCTGCTTCATACTTGCCATGTCAGAGTGAGTGACAGGAAAGGGGGTAATCATCTGATGAAATCAGACTTGGATAATGATCCGCTGAATCTTTCTTTCCTGCTGCCTGGGGGGAGAAGGTGTAACTTTCTCAGACGAGCAAATATATCAACTTGAAAGCTGGATGCCACTTGAAGCACAATCGTTCTTGAAGTGCATTGTCTTAAGCTGTCTATATCAGGAGAAAGCTGGCTGGGGTAATGCGCCTCAGGCCCTGAGGGCTGTGCGTTTTCGTTAACAAACGATGCCCTTGACAGGAGCATTTGCAGCATAGCCCATCCAGGTGCAGGATGTGGGATCTCCACACCTGGATGGCTTACAAGTGGGAGGCCTGCAGGATTAGTTTTGTTTAAACACGAGGCACGCCACAGCCGTCTCTTCAGTCTAGCGTGTGAGCCCAGTGAGGAATCATGAACCGCTGCTTGAAACACACGGGCAAGATCCGGAGGCGACTAGTGGAGGTCAAGAACCAGTCATTCCGGCTGGCCAAAGTGGATTTCAGTCACAATGAGAGTGTGCGGCTGGCTACTGACGCCTTCTTGGATGGCGGGGTCCAGTCCTACTTCAAGGCCCTGGAGGAAGAGGGAGAAGTGGACTTCCTGTCTTCGGAGGAAGTGCGGTACATCGAGAGGAATGCCAGGGAACCTTACTATGCCAACGACACTCACGCTGATGGAGAAGTTGGGCCAAAGCAGACGAACGACGCCAGGTCCATGCAGTCAGGAACGTATTTCCCGCTTGTTTCGGAAAACAGTGAGCCGGCCCTTTTCCACACATGGAGCACAACAGAAAAGCCCTACCTGAAAGAGAAGTCAAGCGCCACAGTGTATTTCCAAACCAATAAGAACAGCAATATCAGAGACCTTATACGCCGGTGCATTAACAAGACAAGCCAGGTACGGGAACTGAAATTTGGTGGGCAAGGGTACTAGCTCTTCCATAGGGGCAGGTTGTGCCTAATGTAGCAAAATTTGAGAGATGCCTCTGACAATGGAAACAGGGCTCAAATCCCTGTTGCCATATGGTTTCTGGCCCAGCCAGTTCCCCAAATGAATATAAAGTACTCCCCCCAGAAATGCTCAGCAGTGATCCAACTTAGTTGGGAGGGTAACCAGGTCCTCAGAGGTCAAGGGAGACCCGGGCCACTTCCATTTATGAGGGGGGGCCCCAGTAAATTTAAAAAGGTAGACGTGCAAAAACAATGATACAAAATTAGCAGAATTATATGTTAAATGTTTACATGTAATACAATAAGAAAAAGAATATTGTAAGACTTTGTAATAAATGTTCCCATTTTTATTTAATGTGATTTAACGTCAAAAGTGTAAATCTGAGGCCCCTCGAGAATGTGAGGCCCAGGCCAAATGGCCCTGCTGGCCCCCCATCTCAGAGGCCCTGAGGGCAACACAAAATTTATTTATTTAGAAGAAGAGATTGGATTTATACCCCACCTTTCACTACCCAAAGGAGTCTCAGAACAGCTTACAATCTCCTTTCCCTTCCCCTCCCCACAACAGACACCCTGTGAGGTAGGTGGGGCTGAGAGAGCTCTGATAGAACTGCTCGTGAGAGAACAGCTCTGAAAGAACCTTTGGCTGATCCACAGTCACAATAACAGGTATATTAACAATTGATTGGCACAGTAATGAGATAATACGGAGAACAAGAAAAACTGTGAAAAAGTGATGCTTAATATATGTCTTTATAAGAATCATAGAAAAGTGAACAAAAATAATATACATAATCATAGAAAAATATATGACGGTGATCTCCAGAATGTCTTGCCGTTTCGAAGGAAGATCTTCTTCTGAACAAAGATGTGGGACAAAAACTGTCTCTCAATAGTTCATATCCTCTGGTGATGTCTCACAATTATCAAAGAAGATTTTCAATAATCATAACAGCTGTAATGTATAGAAGAACCTGCCATGGGCTAAGATGATTGTAATGCTATGATTATTGAAAATCTTATTTGATAATTGTGAGACATCACCAGAGGATATGAACTATTGAGAGACAGTTTTGGTCCCACATCTTTGTTCAGAAGAAGATCTTCCTTCGAAACGGCAAGACATTCCGGAGATCACCGTCATATATTTTTCTATGATTATGTATCTTATTTTTGTTCACTTTTCTATGATTCTTTAAAGACATATATTAAGCGTCACCTTTTCACAGTTTTTCTTGTTCTCTGTATGATCCACAGTCACACCAGCAGCTGCATGTGGAGAAATGGAGTCACTTATAACCTACCATTTTCCCCAAGGGAACCCAAAGCACTTTGCATTGTTTCCTTCTCCTCCATCTTATTCTCGTAACAGCCCTGTAAGGAATGTTAGGCTGAGAGTGTGACTGTCCCAAGGTCACCCAGCAAATGTCCATGGAAGACCAGGGTTCAAACATGAGTCTCCAGGTCCTAGTCAGACACTCTAACCCAGGGGTCATTACTGACCTACCTACCATGAACATGATTCTAGATCTACTGATGTCTGAGACAAATTTAACAGCAAAGAATTGCCAAAGTACAAAGAACTTGTATATAAAAACCAGTGATACAGAATCTGGCGTTTGGTTAAAATGTTGAGACTAACTGAATTATACCTATTTTCTATCAGTGCTGGAAACTTTTTTTTTGAATGGCATAATACTCTTGGATTTTTTTTTAACAGAACAGAAATTTTTATTACAGTTCGTAACCAGTACAAACAGTCTAACCAAGCATACATACATACATCTCAAAATTATTCAAAACCATTTCCGAGATAATACACTGCATTAGCCTAAGAGTCTGAACAACAACAACAAAAACTTTGAGTTATGCTTTCAAGAGATCTTTCCTAATTCTGTCGGCTGCTGCCAAAAATTTGGCGCATGCTAATGTCACCTGTGGATTGGTGTCTATCATAAGCAAAATACTAATATCAGAATCCGAAAGGCCTGAAAACCTTTCCCGTATGGGTTGGATAAATGTAGCTCGTATATTTTGATAGAACCCACATGCAAGCAAAATAGGATTGATAGTATCAGCCTCTCCAATACCACAAGGACAAATACCCTCAGCCAGAGGTATCTTCTTGTAGCGACCTATTACGACCTCAGAAGGGAAAATATTACAGCGAGCCAAAGAGAAGGCCCTTCGATTAGATGGAATTACCATATTTGTCAGAAATGGAGCTGGCGAGACTACGTATCTTATTTGAGAGGGAGCCAAAACACTAGTGGCTCTAGTAATATAATTCTGTCTCTCTACATCAAATAATCGCTGCTTTACCACGGCTCTTGCTTGGTTTAATGCCATATTTTGTAGAGATTCAGGTGAAAAGCCTAGCAAAGCCAACTTCTGATATACAGCTCTAATCCAACAAGAACTGTGCCTATCCTTCAAAATTAAAGAGGTAATATCCAAAGGGGAGTGACTAAGCCCAGGTGTATATTGAAGCAAGGGTCACCTTCGCTTCTATCCTTATCAACCCCGATTCCAGATGCATAATAGCATTTGGGGGCACCTTTAGGGAACTGAAATATGGCTCTCAAGAATTTAGATTGTATTTTTTTGAGAGCAGAAAAACTTGTGGATATTTATTTCTAAATGGAGGCTTAAATTCTCATTAAAGTATTGAAAGGCCACTTATAAAGCCATTTACAACAGAGAATTCACTGCTGTGTCTGGTTCACCATACAGTGTGGGCAATGTGAAAAGACTTACAGCATAAGCCTAAGTATAGTTACAGCCTTCAAAGCCCATTGACTTCAGTAGTTTTAGAAGGGAGTAACTCGCTTAGGACTGCACTGTCAATGTAGTGCGCATGAAAACATTTCATTCTCCTTGTAACAAGATGGTTTTGCTAGAAATAGTCCCACAGATGGGGGGGGGGAAAGGATAGAGGTTTATTAGTTGCTGTAGATTTTCCGGGATGTGTGGCCATGGTCTTGGCATTGTAGAACCTGACGTTTCATCAGTAACTGTGACTGGCATCCTCAGAGGTATAAACACAGAAAGATGGAATACTCTCTGTGTCAAGGTGAGAAGAAAATGGTAAGCAGTAAATTTATATCTACTCCAGAAGGTGGGTAGGGCTGAGTCATTGTCTTGTAGGAGTTCCCCAGGCTATGGACATGTTAATGGAGGAGCTTTCCTGAGGAGGTTCTTTTGTTTCCTGAGGAGGTTTCCTGCTTCCTGAGGAGGTTGTTGAAATTCTAATCTTATCTGTAGTGCTATTGTCTGATGTAAAGCCTTTTGTGTTTTTCAGGACAGGAAGCCATGTCCTATTTATTTTTAAACTCTCTTCTTTCCTGTTGAAATTATGTTTATGTTTGTGAATTTCAATGGCTTCCCTGTGTAATCTGACATGGTAATTGAAAGTGTTGTCCAACCTTTCAGTGTCTTGGAACAAAATACTGTGTCCTGTTTGAGTTAGGCTATGTTCAGCCACTGCTGATTTTTCAGGTTGGCCAAGTCTGCAGTGTCTTTCATGTTCTTTTATTCTTGTCTGAATGCTACGCTGTGCGGTCTTGGTGTGAACTTGTCCACAACTGCATGGTATGCGGTATAAAATCTACAGCAACTAATGAACTCCGGCCGTGAAAGCCTACGAAAACAATACTGACCTTGATAGACCAATGGTCTGATTCGGCATAAGGCAGTTTCATGTATACTCACTGTGCTTTAAGTTTTCCCATCTGATCAGTGATTCCTTTGATATATGGAAAAAACACTTTTCCTGTGGGAGACTGTTTTTCCTCAATTGTTTGTTTTACCTTTGGTTTAATCGCTCTTCTGATTTCATTCTTGGAGTAGCCATTTGCTTGAAGAGCATGGTTTAGATGATTTAGTTCGTCATTGAGAAAGTGCGGTTCACATATCTGTCTTGCACAGTCTATGCCTCTTTTTTGCCGAGGGTGGTGATTGGAGTTTCTATGCAAATAGTGGTCCGTGTGAGTTGGTTTTCTGTAGACCTTGTGACCTAATTGAAGGTTAGTTTTGCGGATGACCATGATATCTAGAAATGGGAGTTTACCCTTGACTTCTTTTTCCACGGTGAATTGTATGTTAGGGTGGATGTTGTTGAGGTGGTCTAAAAACTCTATCAATTCTACTTCTCCATGGTTCCTATAATGTAACCTATATCAATACTATTGCTTTTATGGCTGTTGTAATGATTCCAAAAGGTATTGCCTGAGGAAGGGGTTAACCTCTGTGACTGACAGAGCGGGGGGTGGGGGGAGAATAGAGAAACAGGATTCTTGACTGCCAAGATGGGCCATGGGTGGTTGAAAAGAAAAAAATAGAGACACAGAAGAGTGAGGAGTGTGGATGAGGGGGCTTGTGAGCGAGACAACCCCCCAAAAGGATCCCTAGGAAAGGGGATTAGTGTGGTTCTCTGAAAGATCCCCTGGGGGTGGGTCTATACCAGGGTTGGCCAAACTGCAGCTCAGGAGCTGCATGCAGCTCTTTCACACGGCCTAATTTAATGTTAATAAAAAGCAAATTTGCATATTTTTCTATAAAAATGTGTGTGTAATACTTGTTCATGTCTTGTGGCTCTCAAACATCCGACATTTATTCTGTGTGGCTGTTATGTTAAACAAGTTTGGCCGCTCCTGGTCTATACCCAAGAGAGAGCCAGGCTGGAGAACAGGAAACATTCACCTCAAGGGAGAGGAGATGTGTTATGAACTCCGAGAGAGGGGAAGGCTCACAGAAAAGTGGGAATAACATGATAACGTCTGCCTAATGATATCCTCTATTATAAAGTCTATTTATATTTAATTAAAGTATTAATAGAAACTATATACTTTCACCTTGTTCTCTAAGTTGTGTTGTACGCTTGAATTTCCCTCTATTGTGTCCAAAACTACTGCAAAGAAATGCTACCAAAACCACCTTATACTACCCTAGTTAAAGTAAAGGTAAAGGTTCCCTTGCTCGAAA